TCACTAATTGACTCACCAATTTTCATCTCAAGTACCTCGAAATCTCTTCGAAGTGTCTGCAGCTGTGCATTGCGCACCTTCTCATCTCCTTGGAACCTTGTCTTCATTGACTCCCAAAGCTGCTTAGCTGTGTCCTTTTGGGTGATAGTCTTCAAGGTCGTCTTGTCAATGGCTTGGAAAAGGTAATTCTTTACCTTTAAATCCTTCAGCTTCAAGTCTGCTAGCTCTGCTTTCTGCGCATCATTCAGGATCTCGCCTCTCGCTGGTTCGGTATAACTTGTCTCCACCAAATGCCACCACTCCTTTGATCGTATTAAATTCTCCATGAGCATTGCCCAATACTCATAGTCTCCATCAAACTTAGGAATGCTCAGGATAGCATCCTTCTCTGTTGCCATCTCTACACTCTAATTTCTCACTCTTCACTCGTGCTTGCTCTTCTTTGTTCCTCACCTTCTCTCCTGTATGCACTCACACACACTCACAATCAGGCCCTAACCTAGCTCTGATACCAATTGTTGAGAATTAGTATCAAGCTAGGTATCTGAGAAACAAGGATTGATTGAATACTTCAATACTTTATTGAATGCAAACTTCTGGCTTTATAGTCTTACAACCTAACAGAAAGAGAGAAATTGCAGCCCACTAACATAGTGGTAAAACAACAGAAATTGAAAAATTCAAAGCTAACAACTACATCCTAACTTGTAGGATCATTATTTGACTGAGATTCTAGATAACCAAGATTCCTACTTTCAAGCAACAAACAACAACAACCACGACTAAGTCTTCCAACAAGGGTCACCCGTGTAATTAAATTAGTAATATTGTAGATACGCAAATTTCAAAATCACCCTTGTAACAATACTATACCTCAGAATACCGGAAGGTAATTAATCCATGTTATTAAATAAAAAAGAGATATGTCATAGGATGAAATTAGGACTTTCAGTGTCACGTTTCAAGCCGTCCAAGTAAAATAATATTTAGAAAAAAATTTCAACGATACTATGTAATATGAAATAAAAATGATTCTCAAATGGATTTCACAACTTTAGAATATTGGATCCATAAACGGATCAAACCATTGCGGAAGCAAAGAATACAATCATAGCTCCAAAAGAGGAACGACTTATAAAATGAAGACAGTTGCTTTTCTTCATTGAGAACCACAATCCATCACTGACCCCACTTTGAAAGGGTGAAAAAAAATTAAAAAGAAAGTGAAATTGTATAAAAGTATCAGCTTTAAGCATGGACGACACTATTATTTTGGGGATAATAACTTATTGTTCCGTAATGATTAAGCATGATAAAATGGATAAAGATTTGTTATCATACAATGCTACTAATTCTGACTAAAATTTGCATGTATCGCAAATAGAGACGTTACGTACGTAGGGTCCCCGCAGAATATGTTTATCTAGATTTTAGAAGAGCATGGACGACGCTATTATTTTGGGGGTGCGCTCTTTATTATGTATCCAACACTTTTGAGAAAGGCTAAGAACATCTCCAACAGTTTCTCTAAAATTTTCTTCAAAATGGGGAAGCAAAAGTCATATTCTCCAAATTATTTTTACACCAACTCTAACAGCTTCCCCATTTTGAAGAATCCATTTTTTTCTCTAAAAATTTGGAGAATGCTACAGATTTGAGGAAGCTTCCCCATTTTTTCTCCTCCATCCCTATTTTGGGGAATGAGATGGGGAATCTGTTGGACCAAAAACCTAACTATATTCTCCAAAAGTGAGAAATGAGAAAGCTGTTGGAGATGCTCTAATGGCTGGGATCTCAATGCTTGAGGTCTCATCATTAAAAATATATACATAGTGAAGTATCCTAAAAAAACTTGTCAATAAATCATGAACTTCATTGTATATTTTCTGTTTTTAAAAAAAAAATCCTAGAATGAGAGCGAATTTCTTCAAAACCCGAGTAACCAAAAAATTTGATTAAATTTCGCAAAACCTTTACTCGTCCAAGTTATACAAAACTCTTCACAAACTTTACGCGAGAAAACACTCATTATAAACTTACTTACTTTGCTAAAAAGCACTGTTAATAACAAATCACATGCTTCTCGCCGGTCAGAAGTGCACAATTTTGCGTCTTACCTCACAGAAAAATTAGTAAACTTTCAGTGGAGGGTAATTGTGCAAAAGGAATGTTTTAGACGTCTTTGACTAAAACTTCAATTCTATTTATGGAAATTTTTTGAAGTTTGGGAGGATATCGTCACACTTACAAAATATTTGGGAAATTTTAGCTTTGCTTGAGTCAAATTTCAAAAGCTCGGACAACAAAATCCCCAAATTCGGGAAGATCATCGAGGAGGTTTTTTTTGTAAAAATTACCCAAAACTTTTTCGCTCCTATGACTGTGTCACGTGCTCAGCTGCACTGTGCGGGCCCCCAGCATCTTTTCGGCAAAAAGAACTAAAAAATTTCTGTCACTTTCACCCTTTATACGACACAAATCCCAATACAGCTTACATACGTGGAAATCACACCCCCGCGCTTTAAATAGCTAAAATTGACACTTTAAATATTTTAAATTTTCATGTATTTTTTGTTTGTATTTTTTCATGCATTTTTTTGTTTGTATCTATTCGATTTAATTCTCATTGTATTTTTATATTTTAATTTTTTTAGGAGTAGCTATACTTCTATTAGAAAACGTAAGAATATTTTCTAAATTTTCACATGATTGTCAGATGATAAATATAGGATCTTTATAGTACCCTTGACTTCTAACCAAAAAAAAAAAATCGGGATCGAATAAGATTGTTTATCTAACGAAGAATGTTATTTTCTTTTATTAAAAAAAACTTCACACGCTTTCATGAACTTCACAACTTAAACTTTGAAATGTGATAATGCAAAAAAATAGATAAAAGTTTGAGTATTTAAATGCAAATTAGCCCGCTTGCTATCAATCGATCTATAAATTCAAGTAAGGCTTTAAATTGCTACTTGGCAGCTTCTTACCATTTTGAATTTTAAAATTTATTTTGTCACTAATTCAAATTATTAAAGGGAAAATATAACAATGATGGTAATATGAAATATCCCACTTTTCATCATCCTGCTATCTTCTTAACACACTATCCATTTGTTATACCCTTAAAAAATTACTAAATATCATTATCCACAGAGCAATTGCCACGTGTCTTATACTATACCTAATACATCTAATTCAAAACGAAGATAATCTCTGCCTCATCTCAGCCCATTGTTCAGCCGACATCTCATGTAACCGAGACAAAAAACAGTACTACTCGGTCAACCCTTTAATTGATTCTACAAACCACCCGACTCGACCCACTATTCAACTGACATCTCGCGTAACAAAATCAAAAAGCGGTATATATCGTCCAACCCAGTCAATCACCCCTGCAAATAACTCCTACTTGGCTCATTGTATCAGCCGTCAACATATATAGTCGACCATCGACTGGACGACTAAAAAAATTGATAGTTTTCTCATGCCAATAGCTGTTTGTCCTTACATTAACTGTTCTGACAAAATCATCATTTCTCTAGTCCCCATAGCATTTATGACTCATCAGACCCAGTCAGCACTGAGTATCTGTTGTCATTCACATAATAAATGATCAGGTGACTCACATCCTTCATCAACTGACACGTAGCGCATGTCTGCCGACTCAGCTACCTAGCTGGACTCGGCCCAAGTTATCTTCTTGCCCCTCAGACTCACTATAAAAAGGAGAAGAATTGCATAAGGTAACTCTCTCTGGTATTTTTTGGACACAAGTAAGAGCTAACTCTATATTTCTCCACTCAAGATCACCTATTGACTTGATCATCGGAGGAACAACCGGAGAACCCAACATCGTCGTCCTCTTATGAGTTCTTTCTTGTACAGGAAAGAATATACAAACTCAAAGCCATACATCGGAAAGGGTTAGAACACTAGTAGAAATAGGACCTTCAACTACAGATTTATAGCGACGGAAAAGTCATCATTTTATTTTCGTCTGTGTACATCGTTATATCAATAGAAATTTTATTGTTGGTGACAGAATATTCCGTTGCCGTTATTTTCTCGGACGGAATACATTTGTCGTTAAAATATAAATGACGATGGAGTTTTATGGTTTTGGCAACAGAGTTTCCGTCACTAAAAATAAAAAAATAAAAAATAAATTGGCGTGGGCTTGACCAAAAAAATTGGGCAGCCCGCGCCCGAACCCACATCTATTTTACCCTCTCTCATCTCTCTCCCAAACCCACACCGCCCTCTCTCCTCTCTCCCTTCCCCTTTCTCTCACTCTCGACTCTCTCCTCCCTTCTCTCTCACCTCGATCTCCTGCGGCTCGACCCGCTCCTCCCAAGCATGTCACCTTGACCCGCCGCCTCTCAGAGCCACCTGACCCGCCGCCTCCAAGAGCCACCTGACCGCCGGCCTCAATCGACGCTCCCCCCCCCCCCCCCCTCTCTCTCTCTCTCTCTCTTCAAGGTGCATGATCAGCCTGGACTTAGTACTTCACGCAAATCTATCTATCGTTCAAGAGATGGCGGTTTGAGGTGAAGAAAAAATATTTTGTTCAAATAACAGAAGTATTGGGAGCGCTTCTGGCATATTAACGAGCGTGTAGATGATATAGATTTTTTTGCACTTTATAATTGCTGGGATACAGATGAAATTCAGGTATTAATAATGCAACTTGTTTTTATTTATTTATTGTTTGAATTTCTATATTGTTTTGATTTGATATTATTTTGCAAGCTCAAGCTAAAACAGCAAGGAGGAACTGCAACACGCCCCTCAGTTACGAGCATCACGGGGGCTCCAGGTCCTTCAGCCAGCATTATCATCAGTTGGAGCTTGAGGTATATAATATATTAGCTTTTAAGTTTTTAATTTGAGTATAATTTATGTGTTATGAGTTACTGATATATTTGAATAAAACTAGGGAAGGGGAGATCTCGAACATTTTGCAGATCATATTCTGACTGCCTGAAGCCCGAATTACGCCGATGAAGAGAAGAAAGCGAAGAATAAGGATCTGGCTGTAAGTAGTAGTTCATTTGTATATTTAATTTCATAACAATGAATCATTAATAAGTCGACTTGCCTGAGTTGTTTTGATATATCGCATGAGAAATTACATGGCAAGGTACAGGAGCAAATATCTCAGTCCCAGGTTGGTTCTAGCACTCCGATCCGACTAAGTAGAGAGGAGGAGGACTCCATCATCGAGATGGTTATTGGACCGAGTAGGAAGAACAGATACCGGTGGAGAGGATCCAAGCATCGGTCATACGAGTCTAGTAGCACCTACGAGTCTGCAGCACTACCAGGAAGCAGTTCATATCAAAACCAACGGTGGAGCAGCGATTGAAGATTGGCAGTCGCAACAAACAACATATCAGCAGATGACAGAGGAAGAACTGAGGTGCCGAGAGCGGAGAGAGTTGGAGTTCTCGTAGTTCATGTCGACTCTGCCTCAGGAGGCTCAGGAGGTATATAGGAGACAGTTTATAGCAGATCAGGTAATATATATACTTTACTTTTTTTAATTTAATAAATCAAATATATGATTCTTACTTAGTTAGGAATTGAAATTTTCTTTGTGACAAAATAATATCATACACACCAATGCACACTGATACAAAATGTTACACCCTAACCCTAACCCTAATACAAAGCCAAAAATATATACTTATAATATTTTTATGTGATAGTACGTGCGTGCGTGGTGAGAGAATTGTGGGTGGGGTTAGGGTACGTGCGTGCGTGCGTGGTGAGAGAATTATGGGTGGGGTTAGGGTGCGTGTGTGCGTGGTGAGAGAATTGTGTGTGCGTGCGTGTTGATGGTGGTGTTGATGGTGCGTGTGTGCGTGCGTGGTGAGAGAATTGTTGGAGTGTTTAGAGTGTGTGCGTGCGTGCGTGGTGAGAGAATTGTGCATGCGTGGGTGTTGATGGTGATGATGGTGTGTGCATGCATGCATGGTGAGAGAATTGTGGGTGGGGTTAGGCTGTGTGTGTGCATGATGAGAGAATTGTGTGTGCGTGAGTCTAATAAATAAGAATATGCCATGATACTCTCTCTAGAACATATAATACATAAGAATATGCCATGACACTCTCTCATATTGCTAAACTTGCATGTCATGCCATGTTGTTTTATATTTTGTTACTTTACTGCAAAATTTAGTTTTTGGTGAGTATTGCTCTACTCTTGTTAACGTTTGATTTATATTTGTAGTCCGGGACTTCTAGACTAGGTGGAGTCGGGGGTAATCATGTTGGAGGTGGTGATGAGGATGATGGTGATGAATGATTTGTATTAGTTTAACTTTGAAAACAATATATGGATGTTGTATAAACAATATGTATTATGTCGGGATATTTTTGCTTGTTTTATTGAAATATATTTGTTATATATACGTCAGAATGAATAATATATTGTTGAACATAGTGGGAATAAATAATATATTGTTGAACAGTGTTTTAAATTTTTATGCTATTGTACAGGGTTTTTTCAATTTTCAAAATAATTTTTTAAAAAATAATTGTCACTTTTAGCGACGGATTAGCCGTCGCCATAAAGAATTTAGCGACGAAAAACGGACACGTAAAAAATATTGCTTTTCTTTTGGCGACGGATATGTCGTCGCCATAAATTCATTTGGCGAAGAAAAACAGATATGGGATATGTTGTTTTCTTTTTTAAAAAATAATAGAGCGGCGGAAAATCCGTCGCCACTTATCTGTCGATGACCTTTAGCGACGGTAATTCTGTCACTAAAAGACCAATTAAAGACCCTAAATGCACAAACGGTTATTTGGCGACAGAAATCCTTTTATTCTGTCACTGTTGTTGTGCGCGGCGGAAGCTTTCTAGGGCTAATTTCGCCAACTGTAACTTTTAGCGACGGAAATTTGGCCTTTGGCGACAGATTTGTTCGTCGCCAAAAGGTCTTTGTCCAGCAGTGGAAGACCTTAATCACTCCACAAACCTACAAATTATTCCTTGTTTGATAACTGACATCAACACCATTAATTTGCTCGTTCACAAGCCGTTTACTTTTGCATTCCTTACTAACATCTTTGCACAATCTATTGGGCTTCCTAAAGCTTAAATAGATATAAAAAAACATAAAGAAAGGAATTGAAGCAAATCCTCAAATATCAATGAATTGAATAAATCAAAATATCGATCTAACCAAAATATATTCTTCAGTGTTGGAGATTTTCAAAGGCCTAACAATGCCACATGTATCAACTAGACACATATTAGGAGCTATCATCTCTCAAATACTCTCTCCAATCATCTCTTGGAATTCTGGGCTTCTGATTAAGGTATATTTTTTCATGTTTTTCTCTAAATCTCTAAAATTCTTGCCTTAATTTTCGCTAGAATTGGGTTAAGTCAATGCTATAAATTAAAGATAAACATTTAATCTACATCATTTCTCATCATGCATGTTATTCGTGAATGTTTATACGAATTGGATAAACATTTAATCTACATCATTTCTCATCATGTTATTCGTGAATGTTTATGCGAATTGGATTAGTTGCGTTTTTTTGAGTCAACTCACTCAATTGGTTGAAATCTCAAAATAAGAAGACACGACAAAAAAGAGGGAATCATTTGGTCAATTATTTTTCACTGCTTTAACGCTCCATATTGATTTACTATGATAACGTCTATTTATTATTATAATATTATATGAGCACAATAATTGTACTTAATCATGAACCATCTCTCTTAAAAAATAGGTATTATTCATGAAGTTTTTAGCTTCCATATAATTACTTATTATTATATTTATTTATTATTGAGATGATTTATCTGGAAAAATGTTAAAGATATTTGTTGACATTTATTTTTGGGGTGCCTAATGAGAAAGTGATATTTATAAAGTTAAATTTTTAATCAGTATTTATCAAATCATAATATCATACATCAGATGACCAATTCTATATTATTTTCTTTTCTTGAAAGTAACAAAACAATTGTAATTTCAATTTGTTTTTGTACATAAAATTAATTTTTAAAAATTGTGATATTTATCTATTTTGTAAGAACAAATTAAAATTTCAATAATGGATAAATCCGTGCATCTTACGGGTGACTTAGCTATAATATATATTCCATGTTTTCCCCGAAAATATTTTCAAGTCCTAGTTGGTAGCTAATATGATCATATGGCGATCCTTATTAGATTTGATTGATCGCTATTTCATGTCTAAAATCTAATCAAAAATCTTCTGCAAATTAATTGGCCATCAACGATTGCTGTCTTCAATATGTTCGATCACAAATCCAAACTTTTGGTTGTTTGGACAGGAATCAGATTGACCAAATCGATATGCTTATATTTTTCCTTTTTACAAGAAACATTAGCTTAGAAAGTATAATTAAAATCATTTATGGAAATTAGTTACTTTTTTGTCACTTTCATGTGACTTCACCACTTTTTTAGGGAAAGTCAAAATTATATTAAATCATATGTGGTAACTTTCTTGCATCTCACTTTCATAATCACTTACATGAAAACAAACACCTTAATTGTTAAATGAAAATAACTTTCTTACTTTTATCTTTCACTTGCATTCAAACAAACACCCCCCTTAGTATTAGTCAAATACATCCTAAGGTTTGGTGTCCCCTTTTTAAGACCTTGCGAATAACACAAATGTTCTAATGCCTAACAAATCTCTTAAGTCCCTAAGAGCATGAGAATTCCTTTTTTTTTAAGATAAAATAGAGCGAGTTGACCTGATTAGATTGTATATTAGTAGAGCAAATTACTCATTCAATTCCAAGATTATGTAGGACAAACATAGTCCTACATAATTCTATGAGTACTATAATTCTATGTTCTATAACGTGATAGAATTTGAACATGGGATGCTAATATCATCTTCTATCAACACCAAATTATCATGGGAGCGAGATAATCATTTATGTGAACATGGACATGGTCATGGCGGAGGGAGTAAAAGAAGCATTGTGGTTGTGGGGTATTCTAGACGATTTGGGGATTGAGCAGGAGAACGTGAACTTGTGGTGAGACAGTCAGAGTGTGATTCACTTGGCGAAGAATCAAGTTCATCATGCTCGTACCAAGCATATCAATGTCAGGTATCATTTCGTACGGAATGTCATAGAGGAAGGTGATATTTCTCTCATGAAGGTGCACACGAATGAGAATCCAGCAGACATGTTTACCAAGGTAGTCACAGGTAGCAAGTTTAAGCATTGCTTGGACTTGCTTCATATTAGCCCTTGTTGATTTGCCCGAGAGGGCATGGCCCTTCGAGGCGGTGATGGGGTGAGGTGGATACTATATGGAGAACAAATCCTGAACTACGGTTAGCTTGATCCCGGTGAATGGTACATAGGCAGCCGCGGTAAAGTGTCACAGCTGGTTTGGCCCTTGTTTGGCCTGGTTTGGTGTTTCAGATCTATCTCTGGTGATGTTCGCGGTATTCTTCTGGTGTTCGTCCAACATTTGAGGTTTATCAAATGATGTACGAGGTGGAGAATTGTGAACGCGGAGGAAATCCATGAACACGGAGGCAAAGCGCATCAACTCCGTGGGGTCCACCCACATGCCCATATGTGAAACAACCCCAGGCAAGCGGGTTTCTTCACCGGCCCACCAACATCTTATAAATACGCAGGTATTACTAGGGTTTGATGTGAGGAAAATAGCATGTGGGAAAAACGCAGACAGAGGGTTTTTTTTAGAGAGTGTTTAGCCGGCTATTAAAGGAGAAGAAAAGAGGGTTTAGGCAGCGAATAAAAGAGATCTAAAAGAGAGATCTTGAGGAGAGAAAAAGAGGGATTTTACAAAAGAGAGGTTAATTTCTTTTGGGTAAAAATTAGATAGATCTTGAGGAGAGAAAAAGAGGGATTTTACAAAAGAGAGGTTAATTTCTTTTGGGTAAAAATTAGATCTTTTTTTCTTTGAGACGAGCTTGTGGTTTGTAGAAGTCGTCGGTGTTCTTCTCATAGTGGAATCTCCCCTCAACCCTTCCGTGGACATAGGCAAGTTTGCCGAACCACGTAAATCTCGTGTCTTTATTATTTTCTGGGTGTTGGCTATTGCTTGTAGGTTCCCTCGACATTTCAGTCCTAGAACCGATGAGATGAAGAGTGCATATTTCACTTTGTTGAAATATTTCACTTTCTATTCTAGTTTCCTTTGAGAAACAAGAATAAGAGTGCATATTTCACTTTGTTGAAATATTTCACTTTCTATTCTAGTTTCCTTTGAGAAACAAGAATTTTACTATCTATTCTATATTCTAGTTTCCTTTGAGAAACAAGAATTTTACTATCTATTCTAGTTTCCTTTGAGAAACGAGAATATAACAGTTGGCTTGTGCTTTTGGGATAACAAAAGCCAGTGCTATCTCTCAGGTGATATCGTTTCCGCGGCGGTGGGCGTGACTCTGCGCCCAACAATTTATAAATCAATAACATGTTTTTTAGATGAATTGTCCTATCCGTAGGTTAAAAATGTTGTGATTTAGTGCGGAACTTTGTAACGACTAATGGAGTGTAAAAAAATCAAAACAATCACATAAAACAGCTAGAGAATCGAGATTATTCAGCAGAAACAAGTATAAGAAGAGATGAGATGCAATGAGGTGGAGAGATGAATATCCCTTTTAAATCTTTTATGTTTGGTTGGAGAAAAGTGGAGTGTTTTATACTTTTGTAGTTTTATTTTCTATGTTCTTTTAAATCCTCCCAATTTGGAGGGATTCTTCTATCTATCTTTTATTCATCTTGTGTTGTTCCTTCCCACCCCTCCCCTTTCCTCATTTTGCCTCTCTCACTAAAAATTGAGAACACTTGGCATAGCGAGTGAGAAGAAATAATGAATGTAGGATTGTTAAGCGAACTACTCTAAAATCTTGTGTGCCCTTGATTGTTTATTTTTTTCTTTTATTTTATTTATTCCGCTGCATATTCTGTGTATTTTAACAAAAAATAGTAGAAACTCTATTCAACCTCACTCTAGACTTGCATCTCGGATCCAACATTAGAGATTCTCTACAGGTCACCAATCACATCTTCGGACTCCAAGGACCCCATGAGAAAGACCAAAAGAGTAAAGCTCTTTATTCAAGTTAAGTGAAAAAAAACACTTTAATTGTAGGATCCACTGAATCAACCAATACTATTAATCCACATAATCAATTGTCGAGCCTCTCCCCAGTCATAGATGTAGAGAATTCTTGCCCTCAATACTTCCCAATATACACGGTTTTCGGATTAAATCCGGTCATTTTCGGATCAAATCCGAGCCGGTGGTCGGCCCAATTGTGAGTCTTTGTAACTTGCAAGTTGCAACTTGCCCGTCGTACTCCCCACATCCAGCATGACAGGCCACGCATCGTGTTCCTTCCGAAAGATATGCCACCTGCCTGCCTTTCTCTTTTTTTAAAATTAGTAGGGTTTATAAAAATATTAGTCCCCCAAGTACTCCATAACTTCCTATTAGTCCCTTAAATCTTTCAAATTGCTCCATAACAAGATTTGACGACTGATATGAAATTGTTGAAGATTCAAGGGACAATAACCCTAAGGGACTGTTTGGTTCCTTTACGCAATTCATGTGAAAGTTACTGTAGCTAGGAAATCAGTTGGAAACTAGACCTGACAGCTATAGTAATTTCCACTCAAAACGCTTCTTTTTTGGGGGGAATTGATCAGAGGCTGCAAAGTAGGATTGTTTACTATCACATCAGCACTCTATTAACGCAACCAAACAACATAAACACGCGAAGTTACTGTAGCCTAACAACTACAGCAACTTTCAAGCAAAAACAACCAGCCAAGCAGGCCCTGAAAGTAATTCCCATGAAAGTTGAACTTATGAGATTTTTCTAATTAATAAAACAATAAGATCGGTTATGAAACAAGTTGTGTTGTTTTAGTAAACATTTATACTGGATGAAATCTCAAGAGTACGACACGTAGCTTTTCTCGATCGTATTTGATTCCAGAGATTATGTCCAAAAAAATGCTCTTGTTTTCTCGATCTACTGTATTAATAGTGCACTAAAATTTTGTTATACAATAATCCGTAAATGTACGAGGTTAATAATTCAATGTATATATAAATGATAAATCCTTAGATACTTTATCAGGTTACCCACCGAAATTAAATCTAACCTAATTTTATAATTTCAATTATTAGCCCAAACCCACATGGTTCTGTCGTATAACTATAATAACGCTATTGGTCGGATTAAATGAGCATAGTAACACATTACACAAACCAATTGGTGCCAAGGAAATAACTTACTACATTGATTGAGCATGACTTTTTTAATACAAAATTTTAGATACAACAATCTATTCAAGAATTCATGGCGAAGGATTAATATTGGATTTTCTCACATGCGGAACAATGAAAGGACGGTGTAAAATGCCCCCATAATTTTCAATGTATTTTTTCCCGAGAGAGATAATTTTCTATATATATATAGTTAGCAACAACATCATATATTCTCAATATAGTTAACGCAACATAATTATACTTATACTTGTTTTATGTTTGTATAAAGAGAAACATTGTCTAGAAAAGAAAATGATCGTCATGATTAAAAGTTAAAAGTATAACGGACCCCTTAGAACGGGAAGTGACAACTACACTATTCTACTTAGAATACTTCAGTGCTATAAGAAAGAAAAATATATGATTCATCTCTTTAATTTTTTTTCCAAAATTGGTGGCTCATCATCACTAGTAGAAAACCACGTATTCTAGACGGAATATTCTAGACGGATTTTTTTCCGTCTAGAATGTATTAAACTAGACGGAAATATTCCGTCTAGAATATTCCGTCTAGAATAAAATATTCTAGACGGAAGTTTCCGATTGTATCTCTCCCTCTAATAGTAGATCTCCCCTCTCCTTGCCCCGTGGACGTAGGCTATTTGCCGAACCACGTAAAAGTTGTGTTCTTGCTGTGATTTGTAATAGCTTGTAGGATCCCTCGACAGGTCAGTCCTAAAACTGATGAGAGGAAGAGCCGATATCTCACTTTGTTGAGATATCCGCTTCAGATTCCTATTTCGCTATGACCCCTTGCATGAGGCTCTATGCTCACTTGGGAAAAGAGCTTCACATGTTTCTTTCTCATGATGGAAGTGATAATTCCTACAAGAAACGTATCGAGTATTATTCATCCAAAAGTTTTGAGGCAGAAGCTGTCCAAATAGAGGAATTGCTAGACAAATTGAGTGTTCCACTGACAGGAGAGATCGACATAAAGATGCAGTCACCGCTCGACAAGGTAGAAGTTTTTACTAACGCCCTGAATCAGAACAGCGGGGACAAACATTTATCTGTTTACATCGGGGACTTAGTTGGCGACTTGCTCTGTTTATTAAAAGCTGACGTCGGTATTGTTGTGGGATCAAGCGGAAGCTTAAGGAGAGTTAGGAGGCAGTTCGGTGTTACTTTTGTTCCACTCTTCCCTGGTGTTATAGCTAAGCAGAGGGAAGGCTCCGGATGGAGAGGCTTTTGTTTTGGGAGCATAGAAAATTCTTTTAGCCATTCAGTATTCTTCCCTTGTTTTTTACTTGCAAGATTTTAGGCATTCTCACTAGTAGAAAACCACGTATTCTAGACGGAATATTCTAGACGGATTTTTTTCCGTCTAGAATGTATTAAACTAGACGGAAATATTCCGTCTAGAATATTCCGTCTAGAATAAAATATTCTAGACGGAAGTTTCCGTCTAGAATAGTATTCTAGACGGTTTTTTTATTTTTTTATTTTTTTTTAAAAATAACCCGTTATTCTAGACGGAAATTTCCGTCTAGGATACTCATCCTAGACGGAAATTTCCGTCCAGGATGTTTTAACCCCTTTTAACAAAAAATTTAAAATTCCCCCCAAATTTTTTCCATTCCCTCAGTTTATTCCCAGTTCCGCTCAAATCCATATCTAAGACCCCATCTCTCTCAAATCCTTCATATCTTTCTCTCAAACCCTAATCCCCTCCAACCCTCCGGCCGTCACCGTCATCACCACCCTCACCCTCACCTCCCGATCCCTCGGGTTCACCAAACAAGCCTCCACCTCCAACCCCTTCCCCTTCCAAACCAGGGCTACGCCGCCCTCGTCGCCGCCTCCGCAGCCGCCACCTACTACTCATTCCCCTTCCCCGCCGTCGCGAAGCACAATAAGGCCGCCACTTCCTCCAGCCCGAAACCCCTTTAGTGGGCTCCCTTTCAGGTCCAAGTCTGGGGGGCCTGTGGTTCTGTTACTTGATCGAGGAGGTAAGCTAAGACTGATTAAATGTTGTTTTTTTCATTGGGTTTTGGCGATTTGGGTGTCTGAATTTGGTGTCAAAATTTGATCTTGGTGATGGGTTGGTTGGTTTTTAATTATGAGATTTTGGTAATTAGTTATGAATTTATAGCAGTTATTAGATGAATGAGGAGTTGACTTGGGTTAGTTTAATAGCTTTCTATAATACTATCTTGCGACTGTGATTATAATTTTGTAATGAAGAAGTTTACTTGTGAAAAAAAAGGTGAATAGTCAGTTGACGTGGGTTGCTCTGGAACTTTCACTAAAGTTATCTTCTTTAATCCTGAATGTAAAGTGTTTAGTAGTCTTTATGATTCTAATTGTAATCTTTAAGTTAGCTTGTGTGAATGAGAAGGCTGTCTTGATATCATATATCATGGATTTGCTATTAACTTGACTGTCATGAAGGTTTTGACTAGCTAGTTCCTGAAAACTGTGATATGCCAGTATCAAATGCATAACTGGTTCATGAGTGCCATAATTTGCAACTTTGTATTTTGTTGTTCAGCTGAAATATGTAATCTATCTTTTTTCTGTCCTGTTCCAACTTGAACAATAGGAGAATTAACTAAAAGGTCATTTTGGTATGGTGCAGCTTGTTGGAACTGATCATTGCACATTCAACTCTTGGTTTTGATGACTTCAGAAAGATTCCAAATGGTGTAAATGGTATGCTCTCTTTGTGTGAATGGAACTAGTATCAGTTTAGAGTCACTTGAGTTAAAACAATTTTAATAGTCCAGCTTATCTGCACTACTAAATTGCAGGTATAGAGGAAAGAATGCACTTAATTTGGGATGCTATGGTGGTAAGTTGAACACTGACAGCTGCCTTTGTTATAATTTATTACCATACAGTTTCTTGTCTGACTCTGAACACATGGAATAAAACCCTTCTGTTAAGTTTAAAATTCAGTCATCATTCTGACAACTTATATACATGCAGGAATCTGGCCAAATATCTGTTACTGACTACGTGAGAAGGTTTATTTCTTGCTAATCTTTTGTTTGTCAACAAAAATAAGATAAAGGTTGATTTATAAATGTTTGCCGATACGAGAACACATTTCTGTTGAGATACAAGGTTCCTGTCAATGATTGTTCAGTGTAGTTTACTGGAAAAAACTCATGTGCTGACCCAAAACCCAGCCCTAGCACTTTCCTGCACCAAATTCCTTCTTTAATGTTGTCACCGATATGGAATGGCCCCCAAAGTGCTTTCACAGGCAGCTATAAACATATGTTGCACTATAAAATATAACCTGGTTTTTTCTTTTCTTTCTTCCATCCTCTTTATTAACAATAGCGTTGTTGCTAGTTGATTGCTACCATTACTCGATAATTCAGATTCTTTTTAAAGGAAGAGAGACGTGTTGTTAGTCACTGAAAGCAAATTTTCCTTAAAACACTTTATCCCCTAATTTCATGATTGTTGACCGTCTGGATGTTTTCTCCTATATTTATTTTAACATACTGATGCGTTCATAGACAATAGCTCCTTTTTTGTACTGTTTTCAATTTGCTTGCTCTCAGCCTGGATTTTCTTTTACATGTCCAAATTGTAAATTCACCAGTTTATAAAATTCAAAGGAAAATTGGAAAAGGAGGATTTGGACAAGTGTACGTTGGTCGCCGAATTTCAGCTACTAATGCAAGCGATAGGCTAAGTGCTTCCAGCGCTATTGAGGTTATTTGATCAACTATAAATCTAGAACAAATTTAAGTGCCTTATTCTCGAAGAAGACCCTATTAATTAACTGTTATGCATAATCTTTCTCATTTGTGCATGCTAGGTAGCAATAAAGTTCGAGCATAGAAGCAGTAAAGGCTGAAATTATGGACCACCTTATGAGTGGCAAGTATACAAGTAAGCATTCTTATGCTTGTTTCCTGAATTATGGTTGGTAGCCTAATAACAGAACTTATGTGATGTACATTCATTTATGCAATACCCTTGGCTTTTCTTCATGGGGTACCTCGTGTTTATTACAAGGGTCGCCAAGGGGACTATTATGTCATGGTAACTGATAATAAACGTCCTAGTTATGGATTTCTTTCGTATTATGTTTATATATATGTTGCTATGATCACCCCGTTATTTGTATAGGTGATGGATATGTTGGGACCCAGTCTATGGGATGTTTGGAATAATAACTCCCATGCGTGAGTATTTGAACCTCTTTTGTGAATTTCTTAAGTTACTGTTTGTGTAAGTATGTAATCTTGACTGTTTCTCTTTGCAGAATGTCAACAGAAATGGTTGCTTGTATTGCTATTGAAGCAATCTCTATTTTAGAGAAGATGCATTCTAAAGGGTAGGCCTGCTCTTTACGCTATGAAGATGCAGAATCTCAATTTATGTAAAAGTTTGTAAACAATTTATGTATCTCTCTACTATTTTGGTGAATGTATTATTTGAATATAATGTGATTTAATATTGAAATATAATTAGTTTGTGTTGGATATGAAAATATAATTTTTTATTGTTCAATATTGTTATGCATGCACCTAAAGTAGATTTTGCAAAAAAAAAAAAAAAAAAACTACTGTAGCATAGTATCCTAGACGGAAATTCCGTCTAGGATACTCAAATTCCGTCTAGGATGTTTTTTTAAAAATAAAAAAAAATAAAAAAATAAAAAATCAATATCCGTCTAGAATAAGTATTCTAGACGGAAATTTCCGTCTAGAATACTTATTCTAGACGGATATTGATTTTTTATTTTTTTTTATTTTTTTTTATTTTTAAAAAAACATCCTAGATTATTCTAGACGGAAATTCCGTCTAGAATAATCCGTCTAGGATGTATTTTAGACGGTTTTGAATTCCGTCTAGAATATTCCGTCTAGAATGTATTCTAGACGGAATTTTCGTCTAGAATAATGTATTCTAGACGGAAACATCCTAGACGCCTATTCTAGACGGAATTCCGTCTAGAATAAGCATTCTAGACGGAATTCTGAATATCCTAGACGGAAAATTCCGTCTAGGATACCTTATTTTTTAGCAGTGCATGTAGCGTGAGAGTGTTGTAGAAAAGTATATATATTAGTTTTTTTATTCTAAACTAATATTAAATGTAGTCAAAGATGCTTTAGCAAGTTAAAAAAAAGGTAAAAGTTGATATAACTTCTTATTTCCAAATGGAGCTTCGTGAAAGCAAGGAATGAAGCTTTAGACAATTGGTCTAGTGTCCTTATTAATGTGGGGTTAGTAGTTGATGAAGCTGCTGGACTCAATTTCAACGTTATTTGTCGAGATCAAGTTGACTAAAGTGAATGCTGCAATTTAATCAAATGGAAGAAAATCGAAAAGCTGGCGTCGTGCCATCTAGTTAGCAAAGTTCAAGTGGCAGATTGTAAATTGTTTTTAATTATATTTGTAGTTAAACAGACATTTGATTTGTAATGAAAATTTATTTTGAAAAGAAATACAATTCCAGCAGCTTTTAGAGATAAATAAATACAATTTATTCAAATTAGGATAGATATCCAAATAACAAATTAAAAGTTAATCGTCTGTGACAAATACTTAATGTAACTTTTTCTAGATGCGGACATGCAAGTATGAGATTTGGAGTTAATTGTCTACAATACATACTACACGTAACAAATGCCATTTCTACACCATAATAGATGCCCAAATATTTTGTTGTATTTAAGCCTGTAGCATATCAGACAACCCTATAAAGTATTTAATATATGCCCTTGAATTTAGATAAATTTTCAAGGGATAAAAATATGTGAAATAGTTTTTTGTTACGCATTTCAGAACAGACGTGGAAGCTATTTTTTTTAGAAGGGTTCACTCTCAGACAACTCCAACCCTGAACTTTGTGGGTGTTGCGATAACCCCTCAACTATTTTAATTCGAAAAAATCCTGAATTTTGGGGGTGTCGCAAACAATCCTTCGACTTTCAGAGACCTTGTAAAGCCCTCTGAACTTTAGATTTTCTCCCCCTACTATCTCACGTCTCTAATTGGCAAATAGCTAAATTTTCCTCGAGAGAAAAAAAAACACTCATTTAGTCATTTGACATATAATTATCAATTTAGATAAGCATAATCGCAATAACCTAGAGAAAAGTTTATACTTCAGATAGGTTTTTATAGGGCGCCCAAAAGTTCGGGGGGGCTTGGTAGAATAAAAGGTTCAAGAAAGATCGTGCTGACAGCTCCTGAAAATTCGGAAGGGCTCCGCCAATTAAAATAGTCTACGGGGTTCTCTCGCTTCCCGCAAAGTTCAAGGGTTTTTGTGAAATTTAAATTTTAAAAGCCTGAAGATCCAATACACAACAACATTTGGGGCCTAAGACAGAAAACGCCCATAAATTAATCAAAATAATAATAATAATAATAAATGGATAACTAGATAGTTAATGACGCCGCATCTGTAATTATTAACCCTCAGATCTCTCGCCTCCCTCTCTCTCTCTCTCTCTCTCTCTCTTCACGCCCCAACTCCCTCCGCTCTCGCCGCTTATCTTCTCCTCATCCTCCACAACCAACAAAAAGGACCCTAAAAATAATTTTTTTTCTGAAAAAAAAACCCCCAAAAATAATGAAGCTGCCCAATCCCAACAATCCAATCCTGCTCCTAAAACCCCTCTTCCTCCTCCTCCTCCCCCTCTTCCTCCTCCTCCTCCTCCTCTTCAACCTCTCCCCATCACCCATGCCCACCAGCTCACCAAGACCCTCCATCTGATTACCACAGATTCCACATACCTCTTCGTTCCTCCCTATCTGATCCCCAAACACATCTGAGTATGAGTTCTTCTCATTCTCAAGATGTCCCCTTTTGTTCCGGTGATAAGATAAGCTATCCTCGGCAGCTCCGATTCCAAAACTGGTTTCTCATCCAAAGACTTCATAGGGTTTGAATCCAATGCATACCCATCAGAAGCTCCACCGGAGGGGGGACAAGTACTCGGCGAACGACTTGCTGGGGGTCGAGGGGGTGGTTGGTCTTTTCAAGGAGTCGGAGCTGGTGAGGGTTAGGAAAGTTGATGGTTTCGGGCTGGACACGGAGGTCGTTTTCAGGAAAAAGGGGGGTGCGAAGGCTACGTCCGAAGGGAAGTGAAAATTTCTTGATTTTATTTTTTTTATTATTTTTTTTCCTGAATTTTTTAATTTTTTTTGTTGCATGGCGATGTGTTCGATGTCGAAAGGGGAGGAGCGGCTGAAAAAAAAAAATTCCTTGGTTTTTTTTTTCTAAAAAAAAATGAATTTCTTGTGGCTGGGGGAGAAAGAATTATACTGTGCATGGTTCAGATCTGTAACATTAAAGATTGTGTAATTTTGATGCATTATGGCAACTGTCAAGGCGCAGTGATTACGATAACGATGGGTTTATGCTTTTGATGTGATGAGCTGGGCATGATTTTATTTATTTATTTATTTATTTATTTATTTGGGGTTTGTTTAAANCCTGGAGATTAAATTGGTTATAAATTAATCAAAAGTGGCGTGTTGTTCGAGATGAATTTTGTAAACATGGTTAGATGTAGATCTATTTACTTTGTTTCTGTAGATCATTGACTTGTTGCTTTAACCAAGGATCGCCTTAAGCAAATGGATACATAGCTTGTTTGACCTGCGTAATCTTTGATTGTTAAAGAAATGGTTTTAGTGGGAATAGGATGTGAGTTGAAAAATAGTATTCCCGAGGTTTCTAAAGTTTGATGTCGGAGTAGAGCATCTTTAACGGTTTCCCTAAAAATTTCTTCAAAATAGAGAAACAAAAGTCATATTCTCCAAATTATTTTTACTCTAATTCTAACAACTTTTCCATTTTAAAGAATCCTGTAATTATTACAATAATAAAAATATTCTACATCCAAATATTTTGGGATGCTCTTAGCCATTGGAACTGTCCTATGGCTTTTTTGTATTACGGATTTTATTTTATATTTATTTTCTCCTCCATTCTGTTTTGAAGAACGTGCTACATTTATGACAAAGTTCTCCCCAAATATTTGAAGAATACCCTAGATTTGGGAAAGGCTCCCTTTTTTTCTCCTCAATCCCTATTTTGCCCCAAATATTTGAAGAATGTCCCATATTTGCGGAAGGTTTTCTTTTTTTTCTCCTTCATCCCTATTTTGGGGAATAGGATGAGAAATCTGTTGGACAAAAAAAAAAACTAAAATTATTCAAAAGTGAGAATACCAATAAAAATGCTCTAAAAATGCAAATTTCTTTCTTACTTTTGAAGGAGCGAAACGATTATGCCAGATTTCATCGGAATACGCGTTTGGGTAACTTTTTATGTTCGGATACTCTCTTTCTTTCACGTGTCTTCAGTAGGGTAATACAGAGACAAATGCAACGGGATGCCAAAATATTGTTCATATAAGACCGTGATTAATAGATCCAAAGTGAAATAACCTTTTGTTGGGATGCATAGCTTCTACTAAAAACAAATACAACGGTAGAGAGTACCGGGGACAATGTTTGTGTTTCTTTTCGAGAAGGCACGAACACAAAGATCCAAGGCTGAAGAATTCAAATTCCAAATTGCATGTTTGTTTGTTGTAAAAACTTTAATCATGAGGAAATTTCCCCACGATCCTTCGTACTATAGGCATCAAATTTCCGGGAGTGGCTAAGGGTTACCTCCTCCGATACACAACCTCAAATATTTAGGGAAATGAATTTTCTGTGGGTACTCTCAAGGAGAGTCAAGCCTGAGACTTCAGCACAGACAGCTTCTCAACTCGGTTGGACCCTGTTAGATAAATTGAGTGTATTTTCTCTCGATTTAAAGCTTGGTAGGTCCCGAAATATCCTGAAACGATGAGATTGGCCATGCTTTGAGCTAAATTTCCAGCTGGGATCAGCATCAGGGGGGCCCTTCATTAGGATTAAGCCACTCTGGATGGCAAGGACAGGCCCCATCCATTTTTGTCGTCTCCGCCCTTACTCCTTTAATTACATCTAAATCACACCTTTCCAAATGTTTAATATTGTCGTTAGTTAGTTCTTTTGTCAAACATCCAATAGTTCTTCTTTCCTTGGTTGCATCTTACTCGCATCTTTCCTAAATTTTAATATTGGTATTAGTTATTTTGTCAAAATCCAATAGTTTCTTCTTTTGGTTATTGATGGGGAATTAGAATTTGGGTAAATTTCAGAAAACCCTTCCCGAAGTGCGGCCATTGAAACTAAAAAAATAAAAATAAAATCTCATAAACTCATTGTTTGATATCTGTGATCGATTTTGTTATGAGAAATGTGTTTGCAGATGCAAATGTGTTGCTTGTTTAGTTGCTGACGGTGTTAACTTTTTTTATTATGAATAATTTCTGTTTCTAATCAATGTTTGTTTTTCTGAATTTTTTAACTGATTTATTTAATAATTAGAGGTTTGCGGTCATTGAAACATATTTAATTATAATAAAGGAGGGATTTATCTTAACA